TTCTTCCTTTCCTTCTCTCTCTCTCTCTCTCTCTCTCTCTCTCTCTCTCTCTTCTTTTCTTGTTTCTCATCTCGCTAATTGCTTACTTATTCCGCACCTAATTTTATCTGATGTTGCCAATACTGCCTATTCTCGATGCCTAATTAATCAATGCCGCTATCATTCACGTGTTCCCCAAACTCTTTCATAAATACTTTTTAATCTTTTTTATATCACATAAATACGTATTTTTACATTGCATAATTTATTGCAGAACATACTTCTCATATTATTTTCTTTTTCACTCTCTTAGCGTCCTAAAGCGTCGATTTGTTGTAGAATAAAAAAATGATATATCTCAATTAATAATTTATACAATTTACAGTTCTTCCACCTTCTTGATTAAATCATCCCTCGAATAATTAGACTCCTGACAGAATAATTCTTTTGCAGGCAATTATTTTTGCACACATTTTGAACGAGAGATGAAAAAAAAGAAAGATAAAATCAAAAAAGATTTTGATATTTTAGTGATAATTTGAGCGTCCTGCATAATTATTTTGATGCTCCAAAATGATTATTCTCGGATCCAAATTTTTATTTAGTAAACTATTTTTATTTAAAACTATTTTTTCCGTGCAGAAAATTAAAACAGGAGATTCTAGAAAAATTCAAAACAGATAATTTTCTAAATCGAAACCGTGATGTCAAGATGTATACGTAAATCATTCTGCTATATAACATTCATTTAGAATAAACGTCCGTTGATCTCAATAGCCTTCAGATTTATCGATGTATCTATATCCCCCCCCCTGTTTTTCCCCCTAATGATCGGTCGTTCCTCCTTCAAAGGGAGACTTTTCACAAGCGGTCCTTATAGCTTTCGCTCGTGCACAGATTTTCAGAACAGAGGAATCGCCTATTTTCCTTTCCAAAAACACCCTCCTCCCCCGAGCGATTTCGGCACTTCATCAATTTCTCTCCTTTTTCGGGTGCATCACCTCCTTTTTTTTCTCGCTCTCGCGCGAGCCGTCGATACCGCGATTTACGACCCGTCAGGCGAGGAAACGAGCAGGACGTTGATAACGACGACACTTTGACGAGAAGCGCACCTCGTTTCCTCCTACTAGCAACGGAGATTAATTCTGGACGCGGATTTCTCGTTTTCGCGCGCGCGGTTTTACGCTACCTTTAAAATAATAACACACGGATGTATCAATAACGCATTTTTAGTGCCTCGCGATTCCCAAAGAGATGACCCAAACAGATTAAGAAACGTTTCGAATAAATTTCTTTATCTCTATTTCTATCAATCTAAATAATATCATAAATTAATTTTAATCGCGGTTTAACTTATTCTTTTCAGTTTAAAAAATTAAAAAAAAGATGGAAAGAAAGTTAAACCGAAATTAAAATCAGGATTTGGAAGTAGCGCGTTACAGTTGTAATGCCGTTACAGTTATTTCTGTTTGGTAATGGGCTGGTAACAGCGTTATTTTTTTTTAACTGTAACGTAATTATATATTTTTTCGGTAACAAATAACGGTAACAAATTTAATAGTTACGTTATTTTTTTATGCTTTAAATCTATTTATGACATAATTTTTGTATATTAAGTTCAGTCTTTAATCAATATTCATAATCCGTTGTTACATTTAAGACCGTCTTGAGAATAATTTATCACAAACTAATCACCAAGAACAGATTTTTAAAATATCCTTTAAAAAATTTCTAAATAGAGAATTGAGGATAGAAAAAAATGTAAATTTGATTTATTTATGAATTTAATAAAAAATGCAATCTTTTTTATTTGTATCTTGAAAATTTTAAAATCTTCTTGAATTTTTTGTAATCTTACAAATTTAACTTATCTTACAAGATAAAAGAGAATAGGACTTATTCTTTTTATCTTAAAAGATAAAAAGTTTTATTATTTTTATATTGATAATTTAACAAAAATATGAGAAAATTAATTTTTATTTATTCTGATCTCTTTAGTATTAAAAATGACGGAAAAAGTAATGACTCATTTCTTTTTAATGATAACAATACGAGTTACTTTTCAAAATCAATAACTAGTAATGATAATAGTTACTTTCTTGACTTGGTAACGAATTATTAAAAAAAAAATAACTTTTCCGACTCTCATTGAAATTTATTTGTACCATCTATCCGATTGTAAAAATGGATGTAATACATGTGCGTGATGGATGTAATATCGATGATATAAATCTCGATGATATAAATTCAACTATCTTGATTAACAGTTCTTAAGCATGTCGATCGAATCGTCATTCTTAGAAACACTTCTAAATAAAATAAAATCGACTACAGATACACCATTAAACAACTCCATTTTATCTGTATATCATTTTGACATCGTATCTCGTGTCTCGTGGCCAACGTATCGGTTGAAGCGTTAGAACAACGTTGATTTGCACATTATCGGACGGTTTGCTCGGTAACCGGCAATCTCGAACCCGGGTGCGTTGACGTGTACGTGACCTACCGGAAAGAAGCGTAAATCAATATCCCTCGACGAGATAAAGAGAGAGAGAAGGGGGGGAGGAAGAAAGAAACGCAGGAAGAGAGAGAGAGAGACGACGCTCGCAGCATCGCGCGAATCGGCACATGCCCGAGATGCTAAACGCGCCCGTTAAACGGACTCGGATCGAATCTCGTTCCTAATGTTCTCTCGCACGGTGGTCCAGGTGGCCCGGCGAGGGCAATTAAACGTATAAACGGCGTGAATTAGCCGCAAGAATTGGCCCATGCCCGGCGCTTTTCAATGGGCCGCGCCGGGCATCAGGGCCATTTAACACGATGACATTCCCCATTTAGATCCACCCCCGCACAAAGACCCGCCGCGACTAGACTAGACAGGCAAAGCCCCGGAAACCCATATGTCAGCACGTGCCGGACGAGCTTCGGGCCGCGATTCTCTCGCTTTTCACGAGGCGCATTCGGGGCCGGACCGTATACCGCCCGGACACCAGACGCCGTAATCGTCGTCTGCCTTCGGAAAGTTATTTGCAGGGATAAAGCGACTCCTCTCGCGATTAATCTCGTTTAGCTCCCCTTCCCAAATCCCTCTCACCCGCCCGACCCCCGAAAATCCGGGATTCGCGCGCTGGTACGCGAACCATCGGCGAAATCACTCGCACGCGCGAATCCATTTGTGGCATCTTAATTGTCTCAATAACGTTCCGTTTAATCTTTTTCTTCCCATTATCTCTTATGCTATGCTAATGTATCTTTATGTTATCTTAATGAAATTAATTGATAAAATTAACTTATCGTCGTTTTTAAAGCTTCCTGTTCTAAGTATGAAACATACGTTAATTTATAATGTTAATTGTAATAATGTTAATTAACGTTAATGTTAATTTT